CGTCGCCCGCAGTTCCACCACCCTTCCTTGTCCGGCGGTTCCTTCGGGCTCTCCTACAGGTCTGCATATCCCTTCGTTCTCCAGGAACCTAGTTGGTGTCGGCTGCCTCCAGGACCTTGGCGTCACCACTACGTTCCCTGGTCACGAGCGGTATGCTGTCTGTACCGAGGCCGCCACTGGTGCCCCCCTGTCCACGTTCCCCCGGGACCCGGTGTCCGGCCTGTTCACTCTGGACACCGTGACCCCCCGGCTGGAGCGCTCACCCAGTTGCTGCTGCCTGCTCTTGTCGGTCTCTCACTCACCCGACCCTCCTTTGCACCACCGCCTAGTCACCCTCGCCCCCGTCTGCGTCACATGTCCCAGCACGTCTTGTCCTTGGTCTCCCAGTCTCTCCCCGCGTTCCCTCCTCCCAGCCCCACTTGCACGCCTTGCTCGAGGTCGGCTTCGCCGTGCCCCTCACTCCTCCTCGTTTCCACCTACCGCCGCGCCGTGCAGACACTGCACCTGGACGTCTGGGGCCCCGCCCCGGTCCCTGGGCCGCGTCGAGAGCGCTACTTCCTTGTGCTTGTCGACGACTTCACTCGTTACACCACAGTCTTTCCCCTGGAGCGCAAGGCCGACGTGCCTGGCGCCCTCATCCCCTGGCTTGTCTCTGCGCGTGTCCACCGCGGTCTCCCTGTCTTGCGTCTTCACTCAGACCGTGGTGGCGAGTTTGCCTCAGGTGTCCTTGGTCGCTTTTGTCGTGCGGAGGGCATCACCCAGACGTTCACCCTACCGGACTCCCCACAGCAGAATGGGGTCGCTGAGCGACGCATCGGTTTGGTCATGGAGGTGGCTCGCACCTCCATGATCCATGCCGGTGCACCCCATTTTCTGTGGCCGTTCGCTGTACGCTACGCTTCTCACCAGCTTAACTTGTGGCCGCACCCTCAGCAGCCGCAGGTTTCGCCCACACGTCTTTGGACCGGGTCTCCTGGTGACGCGTCTGCGTTCCACGTTTGGGGCTGCCTTGCTCACGTCCGTGCCTCCGGCACGGACAAGCTCACTGCCCGCACCCTTCCCTGCGTCTTCCTCGGTTTTCCCCTTGACGTGTCTGACTGGCACTTTTACCACCCGCCGTCTCACCGCTTCTTTCATTCTCGTGACGTCACCTTTGACGAGTCCGTCTCCTACTACCGTCGCTTCCCCCACCGTGGTCCCCCGGTTCCCCCCCCCCTGTTCCTGATCCCTCCTTCCCCGGTAGTCCCTGCCCCTCCTCCTCCTCCTCCCCGTCCCGCCCCCTCTGGTGTGTCCCACGTCACCCCCCTTCCGTCGGTGGACCCGGTTGAGGAGTCTTCTGACTCTGGTGGCCCTCCTGCTCAGTCCTCGCCAGCTGCCCCTCCCCTGGCGTCCCCTCCCCAGTCCCCTCCTCCACCGCCTCTGCCGCCGCTGCGGCCGTCGCTGCGCCACCGCCGCCGCCGCCGCCGTCGCAGCACCCGTTCGCTGACTCTGGGGGTGCTCGTCCCGGTAGCCCTGGGGGTGGTCCCTCTGGGGGTGCTGGTGTGGAGAGTGCCGGTGGTAGCCGAGGAGCAGTTTGCGGTCCAGGTGTCGCCGTTGTGCCGCCGCAGCAGCAGTCCCCGCCGGTGTCAGCCCTTCGCCTGCTCGGCCTTCCGTCCCCCGACCCTGCGTCGGTTCCTCCCCGGCCGTCTCCTCCTCTTCCTGTCTACGGCCCTGTTTTCCCTCCGCCGGACTCGTCCCCGGCCCGTCTCCCCCCTCGTTCTCCTCCTGTGTCCCCTCCTCTGTCTCCTGACCCGACTCCTCCGTCGCACGTCTGGTCTCACCGTCCCTCCCGTGCTCGTCCTGCCTCGCCTGTCCTGCGCTCCCACCCTATGTTGCTTCGTTCCCACGCGTCTCGTCCTCTCCTTCTGCCGTCGCCTCCTCCGTCCTCCCTTGTTGTTGCACCCCCCCCGCTGTTTGATTACCTTCGTGCCGCCCGTCCTCTTGTTCCTCGGGTCCTTGCCACTCTTGTTACCGACCCGTCTGTTCCACTTTCGAGCCTTGACGCCCTTGTCGCTGCGGTCGCTGACTTCGCCTCTACCCGCCGCCTTGACTACGCCACCGCTCTGGTCTCTGACCCTGCCTGTCCTCCGTCTGTCGGGGGTGCTTCTGCCCTTGGCAGTGACGCCCTGGAGGACCGCCTGTTCGAGCTTGCTTTCCTGTCGGAGGCTGCTCCCCATCTCTGTTCCATGCTGCTAGTCCCTGAGGGTGACCCAGACGCTTTCGACATCCCGACCCCTCGCACTTACGCTGAGGCGACCTCGGGACCCTGGGCCTCTCAGTGGATAGCTGCCATGGAGCAGGAGATGGCATCTTGGAGATCCACCGGCACCTTCGTCGACGCAGTTCCCCCGCCTGGGGTGAACGTAGTCGATGGCCGCTGGCTCTTCAAGGTGAAGCGCCCTCCTGGAGAGCCGCCTGTGTTCAAGGCGCGCTATGTGGCTAGAGGCTTCAGTTAGCGCGAGGGGGTGGACTTCTTCCAGACCTTCGCTCCGACCCCGAAGATGACTACTCTTCGGGTTCTGTTACACCTAGCTGCTCAGCGTGACTACGAGCTTCACTCCCTCGACTTCTCCACTGCCTTCCTTCAGGGCAGCCTACACGAGCAGGTCTACCTACGTCGCCCTCCGGGCTTTACTGGCACCTTCCCTCCTGGGACCCAGTGGCTCCTGCGGCGCCCCGTCTACGGCCTGCGCCAGGCTCCCCGTGAGTGGCACGACACTCTCCGTGCTACACTTGCTGACCTGCAGTTCTTTCCGTCTTCCGCAGACCCTTCACTCTTCGTTCGTACTGGCCAGACTCCGTTCTACATCCTTGTTTACGTCGACGATCTGGTCTTTGCCACAGCAGACAGGGACGCACTGGCCTCCGTGAAGGCAGAGCTGCTGAAGAGACACACCTGCACTGACCTTGGAGAACTGCGCCGTTACCTTGGCTTGCAGATCTCCAGGGACAGAGCTGCGCGCACCATCACCCTGACTCAGTCACACTTGGTGCGCCAGGTCCTTCAGAGGTTCAGCCTTCAGTTCTCCTCTGCACAGCCCACCCCTCTGCCTGTAGACCACAGGCTCTCCGCTCCAGTGTCTGAGGAGTTGGTAGAGCCCAGCGGCCCCTACGCAGAGCTGGTGGGTTGCCTCATGTACCTGATGACTTGCACTCGCCCAGATCTCGCATACCCTCTCAGCATCCTGGCTCGTTTTGTGGCCACAGGCAGACACCGACCGCAGCACTGGTCTGCCGCTAAGAGGGTTCTGCGTTATCTTGCTAGTACATCGGGCATGGGGTTAGTGCTAGGAGGACGCAGGCCAGTGGTCCTTACTGGACACACAGACGCTTCGTGGGCTGACGACGCTGAGACGCTCAGGTCTACCCAGGGCTACTGCTTCAGCCTTGGCTCACCTGCCGTCTCGTGGAGAGCTACCCGCTCCTCGTCTGTGGCGCAGTCCAGCTGCGAGGCTGAGATCTACGCTGGTGCCATGGCGGCACAGGAGCTCCGCTGGCTGACCTTCTTGCTCACTGACTTAGGTGAGCGGCCTAGCTCTGCCCTGGTCCTGTTCGCTGACAACAGGGCCATAATCCTCCTGTGTCAGGAGCCTCGACTCGAGGGCAGAGCGAAGCACATTCAGCTGCGGTACTTCCTCCTGCGTGAGCTACAGCAGCGGCGTCAGGCTCGCGTAGTACACTTGGCCTCAGGTGCCAACACGGCTGATATCTTTACGAAGGCGCTTGCGCCTAAAGATCATTAGCAGCACTGTGTACAGCTTGGTCTAGTTCCTGTAGCCTCTCACTTGCTAGGACCTTGACTTTGTACTGTCCTTTAGATGTATTCTCAGACTGGACTTGTGTCCTCTCCCAGTAGTTGGACTAGTAGTGCCGCCCTGCTCTTGTTCTTGCCTTGTCTGTACTCCTTCTGACTGGTCTCTCAGACCCTTGTCTCAGAGGTTGGACTAGTAGTGCCGCCCTGAGCTGCTTGTTTAGGACTTCCCCTATGCAGTCTAGGGGGTGTGTCAAACATGTGTATTTGTCATGTTTGTATAGACTATATAGGGTCGCCTCTTAGAGGGTACAATTCATAGGTATATCTGTCTGTACACTCTCATTAGCTATCATTCAATTTTCAGTTTGATAAGAACGTGTCTGTAAACATTTGGAAATTGGGGGTGGGGGGAGGCTAGGGACGGGAAGGGGGAGGGGGGGGGGAAGGGGGTCGCATATACACAACTCTGCAGCGAGAACTGGGATTTGTACTACACATCTCCAAATTCGCGTGTTCAGATGTTTTCGATGGCTGGCGAGGACGTTCATTTCCCACAACGAAGTTACGCTGTAATCAGATTGTCAATGTTAATAAGTTGAAACACATTTCACGGAATGTGTACCGTGGCTTTAAGGGTCACAATCCCATGTGTTTTGTTTGGTTTTATGGCATGTGTGCTTGCAAAGGGAATTCACATGTTTTAGATGCAATTGATTGTGGATGTTTTCTCGTGGGTCAAGCCAGGGTTTGGTTGGGTGGGTGGATAGAGTTGCGTGTGGGGAGCAGTGCTGCTGAGTGGTCAGGTCCCTGTGCGCCGTTGTGCAGGGCGCTACGTGTTCGCGGTCACGGCTAATCCAGAGCCCGTCGCGCTGGCAGGCAGCGGGCCATTTTGACCACAAGCGTACAATCATTTTTGCAGCTGACGTCACCGCACACATGGGGTTTCACTCTTCTTGCAAGGACGGACGCAAAATATATTGCGTCGCATCAGAATCGGCTCGCCTGCGTCGCAAGGATCGTGAGGGCGTCGTCTCATCGCTTCTCAGCCAACAAGTTGATCCGGTCGTGGAGAACCACGCAGCTTGGATGGAGAAACCTTGATCCGACGGTCGTGAAATATCCTCGGGCTCTCCAATGAATCACCTCTCGGTTTCCTTCCCTCTTTCGCACGGTGGCTGGCTCATTTGTTCTGCCACTGCCAGGGTTGCCTGTGGCAGCCTATCTGCCCGCGCGTGATTCCAACTTCCGCCATTGCTGCCACCCTTTCACCCTTGACTCTAGCCAGCAACCTAGATGCATAGGAGGCATCGCCTTGGCTCTCGTTCCTCGATTGCGACCGTGCAGTGTAACTAAGAATCTTGGATTAACAATTCTCTAAGAATCCACCACTCGAGCCGTCTGTTACTCTATGGCGCTGCAGGCGTCGTGTGCCCACCCGTCGTGTGCCATCCTGTGGACTTGCAACCGGCCCGGCGTCGACTAGCCTTGTAGGAACGAGCGTCTGTTAGAATATCGGCCGCAGAGATCAGCAGAGAGTACGAATTCTGGAGGTTAGAATTGAGAAGACGCCTTACGTAGCAGTAGGGCAAGCTAAATCCTGCCGACCAACCGTCTATTAGGGTAAGGAGTCTCGATAAACCGCCCGATGTCATCGTCGCCGTGGAATGCGGCGGATGCCGACGCGGACCCGGCCATCAACGCGTGGTCTACGGTGCGTTCTCGCGCGCCCTCGCCTCCCTCCCGCTGTCCCTTCCTATTCCCTTTCGCCCTCACCGCCCGTCACTGTCGCTCCCCTATCGCCCGCCGTTCAGCTTTAGGACCGTGCTAGTTTGCCGCGACGTCTTCAGGCAGAGGCGGCGGTAACGGCAGGGGAGGCGCTGGGAAGGAAAGCGGGGGGGGAAGAGGGCGAGCTGATGCCGTAGACTCGGAGTCACGCTGGGTGTGAGTGTGGGAGCAGCGGAAAGAGCGGTGCGGAGGAGCGGGCTTTTATGCAGTGCCGGCAGCAGCAGCGCTGCCGTTCGGAAAGCCACGCACGGCGAGTGGTTGCCGTTGGTCTGCCTGTAGTTGTTGCCTCAGTGGGACCTCTAACTGCGCGGTTAGCTGTTCTCCCGTAGCAGTCCCTATAGCTGTAGCTGTGGCCGTTTGTCGGAGTGGCGTGAGCGGTCGCCAGGCTATCGAGAGCAGGGCGATCGCAGCGGAGAGTGACCCGACGTCGCTAGCGTGCCGCACGCCGCACCCTTTCGCCTCGCACATGCCTCCCCTCTTCGCGTGTTCCGCCCCCTCCTAGTATTCTCAACGCCGCTCCCCCTCCCACCCGCCCCTCCCTTCCCCCCCCGCCCCCCGCAGTTCGACGACATGGTTTGGCTCGAGTTCGGCACCGACGACCACATCGTGCCCGCGCAAGCCGCCGCGGCCCACGCGGACTGGCCCGCGGAGATGGGGCGCGCGGAGGAAGGGGACGTGCGGCCGCCTGGGGAGGGATGGGGGGCAGCGGGCGGAAACAAGGGGGCGGGGAGCGAGATGGAGACTGACGGGGCGCTAGGGGGGTGGATGGGGGAGGCGGAGGGCGCATCCGGGCGAGAGGCGCCTCAGAGGGGAGAGGAGGGCGCGCGGAGGGCGGGTAAAGGAGAAACGGCGGACGGTTTAACGCTGCAGCAGTGCGCGGAGCGGCTGGTGGCGGAGAGGGAGGGGGAAATGGGGCGGAGTGGGACGGGGTACGGGTATGGGTATGGGATGGGGTACGGGCACGGGGCGCTGGGCGGTGGCATGGGGGGCGGGGGCGGGGACGAGGGCGCGGTGATGAGCATGATGGACGCGCACCTGCGCGCCAACATGGGCATGGACGCGGGCGGGGGCGCGGGGGCGGGGAGGGGCATGGGGTTGGGGATGGGGATGGGGATGGGGATGGGGATGCAGCAGAGTGAGGTGCGCGAAGAAGGTGGAGCGGCGGACATGGGGGGAAATGAGCGCGTTGGGGACGACGCGGACATGGGGGACGATGCGGGGGAGCAGGCGTGCAAGGCGGCGAAGGCGTGTGATGGGGGCGATGGGTGCGCGGGGCAAGGGGTGAATGAGCCGCGTGTGGGCCCCTTTAACGGACTGTCAAACGCCGACACGCGCGCTGCTGCTGCCGCGCCTACCGCGCCTGCTGCTCTTTCGCGTGCTGAGGTTGTGGGCGGTGTGGGGGAGAGCGGAGGGCGGGGAGGCGAGGGGGAGGGAGCGGCGGCATCAGATTCACACAGCGTGGCGGCGGCGGCGGACCACAACGGCCTCGTCCCGCGCCCCCTCACGTGAGTGCCGCTCGCTTGCCCGCCTCCAGTTGTCTCCCCGCGCCCCTCTCGTCGCCTCCGTGCCCGCTTCTCCCCGCACCCATTCCCCCGTCTGCTCGTCTCCCAGCCCAGCCCCTGCGCCCTCGTCTCGCACGCCTCCCTTTCCATCTCCGACCGTCGCCCGCGTCTTTCCCTTCCCCCATCCCCCTCTCTCCCCATCCCCCTCTCTCCCCATCCCCCTCTCTCCCCATATCTCAGGCCGTCCGCTCTCCCTTCTGGCTGCGCGGGGAGCGTGGAGGGGCGAGCTGAGACGCACGCGGAGGGGGTGACGGAGGCATCGGCGGAGAGGGGCGGAGGGGGCGCACGAGGGCGGATGGCGGAGGCAGAGGAGAGACACAGAAACAGCAGCGCGGGGAGGGTGGGGGAAATGGCGGGCAGTGGAGAGGCACAAGGGCAGAGAGGGGGGGGGGATGGGGAGGAGCGAAGGGTGGGACGGAATGGCAGCGAGGGGGAGAGGGTGGGGGAAAGGGGGATGGGAGGAGAGGAAGGAGGAGGCGAGAAGTATGAGGGGACGGAGAGAGGGCAGGGGCTGGCGAGGGAGGGAGGCACATGGCAACAGGGGAAGGGAAAGGTAGGGGGTGGAGCGGAGACGGCAGCAGGGGCGATGGGAGGAGGCATGAGGACTGCTGCCAGCGATGCGGTGAGTGCAAGGAGCCATGGCGTGGCGGGTGCAAGGAGCCATGGTGTGGCGGCAGCATGCAGCGCACAAGGCGCCTGAGTTGCACTCGGGCGTTCAAGCCAGGTCGTGCTACTTTGCGTCTCATCATCTTTCCTGCCCATCCCTCACGCCCCGTGCGTCCTCCGTGCAGCACGTGGCTCGTCGGCGAGTGGTGGCGCGGCGCCGCAACGAGAGGGAGCAGCGCACGCCCACGCCGAGGAAGACGGCGCACTCCGCTGCTGCCGCCACCGCCGCCCGCCCCACCACCACGCACCCGCACACGCACTCGCACTCTCACTGCGCCCCCCTCGCGTCGTCCTCCCCCACCGTTGCCTCTGCGCCGCCCCCTGTGCTGCGCCACTCCCTCATGGCGTCCCCGTCCATCCACCCGCCCTCCCCCTCCGTCTCCTCCCTCCACACCGCCCCCTTCCCCCTCTCTGCTCGCACTCCCTCCTCCCTCCCCTCGCTCCCCTCGCTCCCCTTCTTCCCCGTGGCCCCCCTGCCCGCTGTCGCCATGCGTCCCCCCGCGCACCTGCCCACGGCGTTCCTCTCGTCCGCGCTGCCCTCCGCGCTGCCCTCCTCGCCTGCCGCCTTCGCCCTGCCCGGCGGCCCGGCGCCCTCCGCGGCCTCGCTGCCGCATGGGCTGGGTGCAGGGCACCACGCTGCTTTCCTGGGGCAGCAGCATCAACAGCAGCAGCAGCAGCAGCGGGTGCTGGGGCGACAAATGCTGCTGTACCATCAGCAGCGGCTGCAGCAGCAAGAGCAGGGGGCGGGTGTGGAGCAGCAGCAGCAGCGGCAGTGTGTGGTGCAGAAGCAGCGAGTGCAGCAGCAGGAGGAGGTGGAGAGGGGCAAGGAGGTGGTGGCAGCTCGGCACGGCTGTGCGCCCATGGGCGCCACCACCCACACGAGCGCCAGCGGCGGCAGCACAGGCGGCAGCATCAGTGCCGCTGCCACGCACGTGCTCCCTGCCAGCCTCGCAGCAGGAGCAGCAGGAGCAGCATCCATCTTCATCCGCCCCACGCCACCTCCCCCTCCCAAATGGCCTGTCTCTCTGCCCGCCCCTCTCATCCCGCCCGCCTCCCACCTCGCCCTCTCCTCCGCCCTCCTCCCCTCCACCCACTCGTCCACATCCACTGCCCCCCTCCCCGCGTGCCCCTCCCCCTCCCTGCCCGCCCCTCGCGTCTCACCCCGCGCCCTGCAGCCCTCTGCTGCTGCCGCTGCTGCCGCTGCAATGCCAGCTCCACCCGCGCCTGTCCTGGGCGCGGGCACTGCTGGTGCTGGGGGCAGTGCAGGGGCGGCAGCAGCAGCAGCAACAGCAGCAGCAGCAGCAGCAGCAGCAGCAGCAGCAGCAGCAGCAGGTGGGGTGGGGTGCACGATGACGCCGGCGGAGAAGATAGAGAAGCTGCGGCGGCGGCAGCAGATGAAGGCGGTGCAGCAGGCGCACATGGCGCTGGAGCGCAGGAAGCTGCAGCACCTGCACCACCTGCACACGGCGCACCAGCTGCACCAGCTGCAGCAGTTACAGCAGCTGCAGCTGCAGCAGCAGGTGGAGTTGCAGCAGCGGTTGAGGGAGCACGGGGCATCCAGCATGGCGCAGCACGCCGCTGCCAGCCCATGCGGCGACACGCCCGCCACTTCCACACGAGCAGCAGCGAGTGCGGATAGAGCAGCAGAACTGGCAGTGGCAGCAGCGGCTACTAGTGTCAGCTCTGCTGCGGATAGCGCTGCTGCTGCTTCTGCTGCTGTTGCTGCTGCTGCGGCTGGTGGCGCGGCAGGCAGGCGGGCCCAGGCGTGGGCCCCCCCAGCAGGCGCACCGCTGGCCGTGGTGCTGAGCTCCAGCAACCTGCAGGCGTTCGGCGCGTCCTCGGATGTGCTGCCCGCGCCGCAAGGCAGCGAGTCGTTGCCACCATGGGGAGGGGGCGGCGGGCAGGGGGCTGCAGTGGCGGGTGAAGAGGGCGGAAGGAAGGGGGGGAGGGGCTGTGCAGTAGGCACGGGAGGAGGGGAGGAAGGGAGGGGCAGCGAGGTTGTGGGGAGAGTGGAGAGGGGCACCAGCAAGGCAGGGGAGGGGGAGGGGGAGGGGGCTGAGGAAGGGGAGGAGGGGTCGGTGGAGTGTGTGGTGCTGGGGCAGCTGGGCGACACCATGCACAAGGTGAGGGCGGTTGGGCGACACCATGCGCAGGGAGAGGGGGGTTGGGGTACAGAGCGGGCAGTGAAAGGGGGGCAGGGGACGTGTGTTGTCTCAGCTTTGCGTGGGTGTGGATTGCCAAGCATGCGTGGGAAGAGCAACCACCGAGTCTTTCTCTCTTTCTCTGTGACCTCCCTCATGCGCTCTTGCCTCTGCTCGCTCACCTGCTTTCCCTCCTTTTTCTCCCCCTCCTTCCCCCCCAGCTGGACGGTCCCACCCGCCTGCTCATCCGCGACGCGCTCTTCCGCCTCGCCCACAGCGCCTCTCAGCGCACTGCTGCCCTCCCCGCTCCTCCCCACTCGCCTTCCTCCCACTCCGCTCTCTCCTCCCACACTCACTCCCTCGCATCCCCCTCCCTTCGCCGTCACGCGTCCGAGCCTACCACTGCTGGCAGGCGCCGCACCTCGTGTCCAGCCTCGGAAGCATCTGTTGCGGCGCCCAGCTCAGGTGGCATGCACTCCAGTGCCGCGGGTGCTGCTCATGCGGCCTTGTGAGTTCCCCTGCCCCATCCCCCATCCGCCATGCCCCCTGTCCCATGCCCCATGCCCCCTGCCCCATGCCCCATGCCCCATGCCCCATCCCCCATGCCCCATGCCCCGTGCCCTGTGCCCCGTGCCCCATGCCCCATCCCCCATGCTCCGTGCCCATGTCCCATCCCCCATATCCCATCCCCCATGCCCCATGTCCCATCCCCCATGCCCCATACCCCATGCCCCATGTCCCATCCCCCATGCCCCGTCCCCCATCCCCCGTCCCCCGTCCCCCATCCCCCGTCCCCCGTCCCCCGTGCCCCACCCCCCATGCCCCGTGCTCCATGACCTATGCCCAATGCCTCTTGCCGCCTGCCGCGTGCAGCCTGCTCTACTCCAAGCACCTCAGTGTCCTCCCTGCCTGCATTCCTCTCCATCCTCCCTTCAACTGCCCCTCTAGCATCGCTTTCCCGTGCCTCATCCCTTCTTTGCGTCCCCCCCTTCTCCCCCTGCAATCAATCCACCCCCCTCCCATGCGTCGGCAGCGGGGCGGCGTGCGAGTGGGACAGCAACGCCATGGACCGCGCCATCGCCAACCTGCTCTTCCACCGCCCCGCCCACCCGCCAACTCCCCCCTCCGCCTCTCCCCCTCCTGCCGTCACGCATGCTGCCTCTGGGGCGTCTCCCATTCGTCCTGCACATGCTGCTGCAGCAGCAGCGCCAGTGGGCGCAGGAGGTGAGGGGGGAAGAGCAGGAGAGGCTGTGGCAAGGCGAGCAGGGGGCGAGGGAGAGGCGGGTGCAGCGCCTGCTCTTGCTGCCGCCCTCTCTTCCCCTCCCTCCCATGCCGCCCACTCGCCCCGTCCCACCCCCATGCACATCTCCTCCCCCCTCTCCCCCCATGCGCACTCCCCCGCTCCCCCCTGCAACCCCGCCCGCTCACCCATGGCCACCACCTCGCCGTGTGCCCCCGCCCTCTCTGTGTCCCACTCCTTGTGCTCCTCGCCCGCCCTCGCCTCCCCTGCCACGTCGGCCCACGCGCCCTCCTCCACCCCCACCACGTCCCTGCCACTCCTCCCTGCTGCCTCCTCATCCCTCTCCTTTCAGCAGCAGCAGCAGCAGCAGCAGCAGCTGGCCATGCTGATGTGGCAGCCCCGTGGCCTGCCACCTGGCACCCGCTGGCTACCAAGCCTAGCCAGGGCTGCTCCAGACCTCGTTATCCAAGCCTCGGAGGCAGGCTTGGGCAAGGCTGGGAACAATGAGAGGCAGGGAATTGCAGCAGCGCAAGAGGCTGCAGTGGGGGCGATGGTGCTTGGAGGAGGCATTTCAGGTGACGCCTGGCGATGTGTCTCAGGTGGTACTTCAGGTGCGTCTGAAGCCTCTCTGCCATCCAGGCTGCCGGCCCTTCCCCCCACACTCTCGGCATCCTCAGGCCGTCCAGGTAGCCTGCTGCCACTGGTGTGTGGCATGGGCGAGGGCAGCAGCGGGGGCGGCAGCAGCATGAGGGCGCAGCAGGCGTTCAGCGAGATGCTGTGCCGCCAGCACACGCGCGAGGACGGGGCGCCCATGGGGGCAGGGGACCACCCTGCTGCCACACATGCTCTGGGAGCCGGCTCGGGCACGGGCACGGGCGTGGATGTAGGCATGGGTATGAGAATGGGCGTGGGAATGGCGGGGAGAAGTGATGGTGGCGTGGGTGTGGGGGGCGGTGGCATAGTGAGGGCGATGGGGTTGGGCATGGGGGGGACGGCAGGCATGGCAGGGGATGCATGGAGGGCCGTGGGGAGAGTGGCGGAGGAGGAAGGGTCAGCGGTGATGGGGCATGGGCGAGGGGGTGGGTGGGGGGAGGGAAGAGAGGGGGGGCACTTGGACGCAGACGTGGGTGGGGAGTTGGGGGCGGTGGTGAGAGGTGGGATGAGTGTGCTGGGCCGTCCTGCTAACTACCGCTTCCCCTCGCATCACTTTGGGTAGCCAGTGCTGCCCAGGCAGCATTACAGCAGCAGCAGCAGCAAGGTGTGCGGTGCGTTGTGATGCGAGGACATGAGGCGAGGCGCCAGCGTTACCGCCAGTCAGAAGCGTGTGCAGTGCAGTTTTAGTCCCTCCAGTTGCGCGCTGCTCGCACCTTACTTCCACCCCACTTGTTTTTTTATATGGGTTGACTTGCCAAGCTCTCATGAGCGCTCATCTCAGCTGCTGCTGAGATCGTAGGTGAAATTCTGTGTGTGTGTGTGTGAGTCCCGCAGTTCAGGGCATTTGTGTTGAATTACCAGCAGCGCAGTGCTCTAGTGCACTCTCATTGGATGCTCTCTCAGACCGCAGCTACCATAAATGAAATGCCTACCAGCGCATGGAAACAGTCCTTGCCACTGAGGCACTCGCCACCCGCCGCGTTCTTTGTTCCACCTGCATCAGTAGATGCACCTTGTTCTCCAGGCTGCTGTCACAGAAGCGTGTCATGGCCACATCCACCCTTTTGCACCCCTTGCACACACTGTTGCCATACCGGGGTGTGTAAATAACGCAGCGGAGCTGTCATCTGCAATGCAAAGCAATTGGTATATACACGTGACAGCCAGGCACGTTTCACTGGGGGTTGACGGGGCATGTATGTGTGAGCAGCGAGCACGATGGTGAGGTCAGAGCGCTATGAAGGGCAGCGCGGCCGTGTCGGGGAAGGAGTGGTCCAGCAGGGCGTAGGTGCCCGAGCCCAGCAGCAGCGCGCCGCTGGCGGGGTTGATCCACAGCGCGTGCTGCCGCAGCGCCAGCAGGCGCTTGAGCGCGCCCGTGAATGCGGCGGCCAGCATGAGGGGCGACATGAAGCCCAGCGAGTACACCAGCAGCAGCCCGCCCCCCAGCACCGCGTCCTGCCATGGGGGAGGGGTGCATGGGATGGGCGGCACGGCATGGGCGGGCGCGCAGAGAAAGAAGAGCGAGGCCAGGCGGGCAAAAGGTGAAGGAAAGGCGCACAGCTGACGGATGCCACGCACATGGGCACCCATGGCTGGTGCGGGAACTGGGGCCCAACACACTAGCAGAATGCAGCAATGCAGTTTGGTGAGTGCACGGCAGCCCCATGCTCCACCAAGGGTGCCAGCTCAAACCGTGACCCCAAAGAACCCTGAGGCCAAAACCCCTACTCCCGGTAAGTGTACCCTCAACAATGCACCTCCATTCGCCCCACCGTTCGGTGGACGCCTGCACTCACCTCGGTGGACGCCTGCACTCACCCCGGTGGACGCCTGCACTCACCCCAGTGGACGCCTGCACTCACCCCAGTGGACGCCTGCACTCACCCCCGTGGACGCCTGCACTCACCCTGGTGGACGCCTGCACTCACCCTGGTGGACGCCTGCACTCACCCTGGTGGACGCCTGCACTCACCCCAGTGGACGCCTGCACTCACCCCAGTGGACGCCTGCACTCACCCCCGTGGACGCCTGCACTCACCCCCGTGGACGCCTGCACTCACCCTGGTGGACGCCTGCACTCACCCTGGTAGACGCCTGCACTCACCCTGGTGGACGCCTGCACTCACCCCGGTGGACGCCTGCACTCACCCCAGTGGACGCCTGCACTCACCCCAGTTGACGCCTGCACTCACCCTGGTGGACGCCTGCACTCACCCTGGTGGACGCCTGCACTCACCCCGGTGGACGCCACATACGCCAGCAGCGACGCGAGCACAGGCGTGGCGCAGGGCGACGCCACGAAGGCAAAGGCGGCCCCCGCCAGGAACATCTGCACGGCGCTGGGCAGCCGCGCCGCCGCCTGCTTCGCGTCAAACCCGCCAAACGCGGACGGCAGGCGCAGAGGCAGCAGCCCCAGCAGATTGAGTCCCATCGCCACCGCCACCCCCCCCGCCACCACCGGCAGCACCCCCGCCACCCCCCCTCCCCCCCGGCCGCGCCCCCCAGCGTCTGCCCGTACGCGCGGCCGGCGAGCGCCGCCGCCACGCCCATGCCCGCCCGCGTGGCGGCGAGCCCCAGCGCGAAGCAGGCGGCGTCAGCGGCGACGAGGGCGCGCGGCTTGGCCTGCTGGAAGCCGGCGATGTAGCCGACGGTGAGCGGCAGCACGGACAGCGTGCACGGCGTGAGCGACGTCGCCACGCCCGCCAAGAACAGCACGGCGACGCTGGCGGGCGACAGCGCCGCGAGCTGCAGCGACACGAGGCGGTCCGACACGTGCGCCGCCGCGAAGAGCACGTCGTCCAGCGCGTCCCCCCACGCGGCGAGGTCCAGCGCCGCCAGGGGCAGCGCGGAGAGGGGCAGGGCGAGCGGGGTAGGCAAAGGCGGCAGCAGGGATGCGGCGATGGCGGAAGGCGTCAAGGCTGAGGGGGTGAGGGCGAGCGCGGAGGGGGGAAGGGCGACGGAGAGGAGGGCGGCGACGGATGCGAGGGGAAGGAGAGGGGCGACCGACAATCGCTCGCCTCCATGGCCCCCAACGCCCCCCTCGTCACACCCGCGTGCTGCGTGTGAGACTCGAGAGGCCACGGCAGCACGCACGCTACTCTCGCTCTCGCACCTCCGCGCGTTCGTCTCACGCAGCCGTGCGGCTTCTTCGTCCCGCACTGCCGCGGGAAGCGCGCAGCGGATGAGGGGCGCGGCAGCGGGGAGCGCGCGGGCAGCGGCGGTACAAGCGTGCGAGCGGCGCGAGAGGAGAGGGGTGGATGAGAGGAGGGGGCTGGAGGGGGTGCCGCCGGGGCACGCGGAGACGGCGACGCGCGGCACGGCTGGCGAGTGGCCCCGCGCGCTGCCCGCAGCGAGGCGGGCGCTGAGAGGCGCGGCGACTGCCATGAGTGGCGCGCGGGAGAATCGCGCCGTTGACTGGCGCTGGGCGTGTGGGGAATGGGAGGGCGGCAGAAGTCCATCGGGGGAAAGCACAAGTGAGCAGCTAGGATGAGAATGCTCGACAATTTGCGAAATAGAATGCAGTTACACGGGGTTCGCGACATACTGCGTTAGCACATTTGAAGAATTTGCGGCAGACCATGTGGAGTGGAACCAGAAGCGGATGTCTCCTTGTGGAGTACAACAGGGGCTTCGGGCAATCCCCCTGACAAGTGCAAGCCTGCCTGCCACGGACACTACAGCGTGCACAGACCCACGGGAATTCAGAATCCACGATCTGAACTGCTGCTCGCCTCTCAATTAGATCCCGCCCAAGCCGATCCCGCCCCAGTAAATCGTTCCCATCCAGATCCCTCCCTTTTACATTCCTCCCGCTTGCCCTGCCGTTGAGAGAGCGCGCGTGGTTTGAGTGCGGCGTGCGCGGCGAGCGGCGAGCGGCATGGCGCGCGAGGTGGCGATGGCGGACGGCGGCGACGAGCGCAAGGCGACGGTGGAGGGGGCGGGCGACGGGCGCGACAAGAAGGACGCAGGGCAGGGCAGCACGCCGCAGACGCCGCAGACGCCGCAGCAAGTGCTGGCAGGTAGGCGGCAGGCGGTGCGCAGCCGGATGGATGCGATCCCCGCTGCCGGGCGCTCGAGGCGGGGAGGTGCGTGAGAGGCGATTCTCCAAGTCGACCATCGGCGCCTTTGCGCGCGAATCCTTTTGCCTCTCGCCCCCAACATCCATCCGCACTCACTCCCTCCGCGCGCATCCCATCCGCGCGTGATCGTCGCTACCTGCGTCGTCCTTCTCGCCAATGCTTCCCGCCGCTCCCCTGGCCGTTCCTCGTCCCTCCCCCCGGTCTCCCTCGGCGCAGAGCTGCAGGCGCAGCGGCCGCTGGTGGAGCGCGCGGTGGTGACGCGCGAGGTGCGCGTGATGGCGCGCGCAGTGCGCGCCATGCTGGCGCTGCGCAGGCGGCTGACGAGTGGCGTCGTGCAGGCGTTCGTGCGCGCCAACGTGCACGGCGAGGCGGACGCGCACTCCACGCTGCTGGCGCTGCTGGCGCAGGTGAGACACGCGGGGCGAGAGGGGCGGGGGGCAGGGGGTACGTGAGAGGGGGGCAGGGGGTACGTGAGAGGGGGGCAGGGGGTACGTGAGAGGGGGGCAGGGGGTACGTGAGAGGGGGGCAGGGGGTACGTGAGAGGGGGGCAGGGGGTACGTGAGAGGGGGGCTGGGATGACAAGGGGGCAGCACTCGGGTTGACATGATATGTTATTTCCTCTTTACGATGCTTGGAGCGAAGTTGATGAGACATGGGCGTTACTGACATGGGTGTTGCTCACAAGCCGTCCTTGACATTCCTGCCTTTCCTCAACGTGCTGAATGCTTTGTGTGTGGCACATGGTGCACGGTGCATGGTGTGTGGCACACGGCGCATGGTATGCGGTCAGGTGGACACGGATGTTGACATGGATGTAGGTGCGAGTGCTGACTCGGCTGCGGCAGCGGAGCCCACAGCAGCTGCGTCATCAGCGGGCGCGTCGTCGTCGTCGGGCACGGCTGGCGTGGGTAGCGTGGTGCGGGCCACATCGTTGCCGGAGGTGGAGATGTTTGCCTACCTCATGGCGCTCGTGCTGCTCATCGACCGCCGCGCCACAGCCCTGGTCAGCGCTGCCCCCTGCTGCCATCGTGCTGTTATCATGCCCCAATCATGTCCCTATCATGCCCCAATCATGTCCCTATCATGCCCCTATCATGCCCCTATCATGCCCCTATCATGCCCCTATCATGCCCCTATCATGCCCCTATCATGCCCTTATCATGCCCCTGTCATGCCGCCCCTATCATGCCCCCATCATGTGTCAACGTTCCATGCCCATGCCCATGCCCATGCCCATGCCCATGCCCATGCCCATGCCCATGCCCATGCCCATGCCCATGCCCATGCCCATGCCCATGCCCATGCCCATGACCATGCCCATGCCCATGCCCATGCCCATGCGCATGCCCATGCCCATGCCCATGCCCATGCCCATGCCCATGCCCATGCCCATGCCCATGCCCATGCCCATGCCCATGCCCATGACCATGCCCATGCCCATGCCCATGCCCATGCATCCACATCTTCATCTTTCTTCTCTTCCCCTCTCCCCCCCCCTGCGTGCGATGCAGGCGTGTGAGTGCGCGTGGGCGGCGGTGCGGCGGCTGCAGCAGGTGAATCGGCGCACACTGGACCTGCTGGGCGCGCGCATCTACTTCTACTTCTCGCTCGCCCACGAGCGCACCAACGCCCTCGCCTCCATCCGCAGGCAACCGCCTCTCCCCACTCGCTGCCGCGCATGCCGCCTCTCCCCACTCGCTGCCGCGCATGCCGCCTCTCCCCACTCGCTGCCGCGCATGCCGCCTCTCCCCACTCGCTGCCGCGCATGCCGCCTCTCCCCACTCGCTGCCGCGCATGCCGCCTCTCCCCACTCGCTGCCGCGCATGCCGCCTCTCCCCACTCGCTGCCGTGCATGCCGCCTCTCCCCACTCGCTGCCGCGCATGCCGCCTCTCCCCACTCGCTGCCGCGCATGCCGCCTCTCCCCACTCGCTGCCACGCATGCCGCCTCTCCCCACTCGCTGCCGCGCATGCCGCCTCTCCCCACTCGCTGCCGCGCATGCCGCCTCTCCCCACTCGCTGCCGCGCATGCCGCCTCTCCCCACTCGCTGCCGCGCATGCCGCCTCTCCCCACTCGCTGCCGCGCATGCCGCCTCTCCCCACTCGCTGCCGCGCATGCCGCCTCTCCCCACTCGCTGCTGCGCATGCCGCCTCTCCCCACTCGCTGCCGCGCATGCCGCCTCTCCCCACTCGCTGCCGCGCATGCCGCCTCTCCCCACTCGCTGCCGCGCATGCCGCCTCTCCCCACTCGCTGCTGCGTCTTCCACCGATTCCAGCTGTTGCGCTCGCAGTAACTGCCGTCCCTTTCTCTCTCATGCGCTCCTCCTAACTCTCACACCCTCATTTCTCTGCCTAATGCTCACTTCCCCCTGGCCACGCCCCTTCCCTGGTGGCAGCACGCTGCTGGCTCTGAGTCAGACGGCCACCCTGCGCCACGATGAGATCGGGCAGGTGAGAGGAAGGGTGGGCACTGAGACAAGCGCACGGGGGTGAGAGGAAGGGCGGTGGGAGGAAGGGTGGCGAGACAAACGGACGGGTGGTGAGACAAGCAGACTGGTGGTGAGACAAACGGACTGATGGTGAGACAAACGGACGGGTGGTGAGACAAACGGACGGGTGGTGAGAGTAAAGGCGGTGAGAGGAAGGGCGGTGAGAGGAAGGGCGGTGAGAGGAAGGGCGGTGAGAGGAAGGGCAGTGAGATGAATGGTGAGGCGCGGCAGGTGAGCAATGAGGCGTTGGTTTGTAGGTTCACTCTCAAGCCCGTTTCGTGCCTTGCCCGTGTGCCATGCACCGTGTGCGGTGCTGTGCCATGTGTGCTGTGCGGTGCCCCATGCCTGCAGGAGATGCTGCTGAACCTGCTGCTGCGCAACTACCTGGCGTACAACCTCTACGACCAGGCGGACAAGCTCAGGTCCAAGGCACTGCGCCCCGACACCCACTCCAACCAGCAGGTAGCGCCCCTGCACCTTACTCGTGTGTCATCTGTGCTCATCCTTTCAACATTTTCACTTCTGCCCCCCTGTCGCTACCTACGTGTTCTTCCCTACGCTCTCATGCACAGCACCCTCCCCCTTCCCTTGCACGTCTCTCCCCCCTGTGTGGGCGGCAGCTGTGCCGGCACCTGTACTACGTGGGGCGCATCCAGGCAGTGCAGCTGGAGTACAGCGGCGCCAAGGACTGTCTGCAGCAGGCGGCGCGCAAGGCACCGGCGGCGGCGCTGGGGTTCCGCATCGAGTGCACGCGGTGGCACGTGCTGGTGCGGCTGCTGCTGGGGGAGATCCCCGAGCGCCACCTCTTCGTGGCGCCCGGCATGCGCTCCGCCCTGCGGCCCTTCTTCGAGCTCACCAATGTGAGTACACGGGCCTGGAGGGCAAAGCGAGCACTCACAGGCGTGGCGCTCAAGTGAGCAGTGAGAGGAGCTGATTTTGAGCAGGCATGACTCGGCCGCATCTCTAGACATCCACCTTCTTTCCCCATTCCCACCCCCCCCCCCTCTCCCCCCTCGTCCCCCTCTCCCCCCTCGTCCCCCTCTCCCCTCTTGTCCCCCTCTCCCCCCTTGTCCCCTCTCCCCCCTCGTCCCCCTCTCCCCCTTGTCCCCCTCTCCCCCCTCGTCCCCCTCTCCCCCCTTGTCCCCCTCTCCCCCCTCGTCCTCCTCTCCCCCCTCGTCCCCCTCTCCCCCCTTGTCTCCCTCTCCCCCCTTGTCCCCCTCTCCCCCCTCGTCCCCCACTCCCCCCTCGTCCCGCTCTCTCCCCTTGTACCCCTCTCCCCCCCGTCCCCTCTCCCCCCTCGTCCCCCTCTCCCCCCTTGTCCCCCTCTCCCCCCTCGTCCCCCTCTCCCCCCTCGTCCCCCTCTCCCCCCTCGTACCCCTCTCCCAGGCGGTGCGTGTGGGCGACCTGCACCTCTTCCAGGCCGCGGCCACGCGGCACGCGGCTGTGTTTGCGGCGGGGCACATGCACAACCTGATCGTGCGGCTGCGCCACAACGTGATCCGCACGGCGCTGCGCCGCATCTCGCTGGCGTACTCGCGCATCTCCCTCGCCGATATTGCCCTCAAACTCCACCTCCCCGGCCCCACCGCTGTGGCGGACGCCGAATGCATCGTCACCAAGGTAATGATGACGCATGGCGAGCACAGTGATGCACGGTGATGCATGGTGAGCACAGTGATGCATGATGAGCACGGTGATGCATGGTGGGCACGGTGATGCATGGTGAGCACGGTGATGCATGGTGAGCACAGTGATGTATGGTGAGCACAGTGATGTATGGTGAGCACGGTGATGCATGGTGAGCACGGGGATGCATGTTGAGCACGGTGATGTATGATGAGCACGGTGATGCATGGTGAGCACGGTGATGCATGGTGAGCACGGTGATGCATGGTGAGCACGGTGATGCATGGTGAGCACGGTGATGCATGGTGAGCACGGTGATGCATGGTGAGCACAGTGATGCATGGTGAGCACAGTGATGCATGGTGAGCAGGGGGATGCATGGCACCATGATGGGGTGGCATGCGGTGTGAGTGCACTGGGCAGTGAGGCTTGGCGTCCAGACATGATGCTACACACCTCAATCGTTTCGGCTCACACACCTGTCTCTTCCATATGTGGGGTGGTTATGGGGGTTGCGCGTGCACCAGGCGATTCGGGATGGGGGCATAGAGGCGGTGGTGGAGCGGCGGCAGGGGTGCATGGTGAGCAAGGAGGGCGGCGACACGTACACGACGCTGGACCCGCAGGCCGCCTTCCACACTCGCATTGCCTACTGCCTCAACCTGCACAACGAGGCCGTCAAGGTCAGTCGCGGGCTGCCTGTGTCAGCCACACACAGTCGAGGTCAGTCTGGGGCTGTCAATGCCAGCCACCAGCAGCCAATGCCAAATAAAAAACAGTCGTCAGCCAGTAACTCGCAGTCGAGGTCATTTAACAGTATTCAAGGTCACTCAACACCAGCCAATGGGCTGAGCATCCATAGGTGGTGTGTATTCCGGGTTGCGATTACACGCGCTGCCATGCCCTCCCTCGTGTCGCCTCCAGGCCATGCAGTTCCCCCCCACCGCGCGTAAGGGCGAGGCGGATGCGGAGGAGAAGCGGAGAGAGCGGCAGCTGGCGGAGCAGGAGCTGGCACAGCACATCGCAGAGGAGGGGGACGATGACTTCTGATGCCACACGCCCCTGCCTGCCTGCAACTGCACACGCATGATTTGAGCCTGCTTGTTGCAATCTCTTCTCTGATCCCTAGACTAGTCCTCAACTTCTGCTGCTCTCATTTATCACAGCTGTATGGATTATAATCAGGCCCTCAGATTGGTTTCAAGTCATCCTCATTGCAAAGGACTACCCCTGGCTCCCTGAATTTTCAGATGTCCCCAAAAAAATTTGCTTAGGGGTCAGGGTTGTGTCGGACAAAAATTGTGAATGGACAGAGATGGATGGGGTTTTTATCAGAAAGAAAATGATTGAACTAGAATGTGTGTGTACAAGGATATATAGACTAGGGTGTTGTACCCTCTAAGGCACAATCCAGTATAGTCTACAGTAACAACCTAAGTTACATTTGACACACCCCCTAGACTATATAGGGGCAGTGCCTAACAAGGGAAGAAGCAGCTCAGGGCGGCACTACTAGTCCAGCCTCTAAGACAAGGGTCTAAAGACCAGTCAAAAGGAGTACGGACAAGGCAAGCGCAAGCCCAGGGCAGCACTACTAGTCCAGCCACTCGGAGAGGCCACAAGGCCAGTCTGGGTAAAATATATATATATAGGACAGTACAAAGTCAAGGCCCTAGCAAGTGAGAGGCTACAAGAACGAGACCCAGCTGTACACAGTGCCGCTGATGATCTTTCGGCGCAAGCGCCTTAGTAAAGATATCAGCTGTGGGCACCGGAGGCCAAGTGTACTACGCGCGCCTGGCGACGCTGCTGCAGCTCACGCAAGAGGGAGTACCGCAGCTGAATGTGCTTCGCTCTGCCCTCGAGTCGAGGCTCCTGACACAGGAGGATCATGGCCCTATTGTCAGCGTACAGGACCGGGGCAGAGCTAGGCCGCTCACCTAAGTCAGTGAGCAAGAAGGTCAGCCAGCGGAGCTCCTGTGCCGCCATGGCACCAGCGTAGATCTCGGCCTCACAGCTAGACTGGGCAACAGACGAGGAGCGGGTAGCTCTCCACGAGACGGCACCTGAACCAAGGCTGAAGCAGTAGTCCTGTGAGGACCTGAGGGTCTTGGCGTCGTCTGCCCAAGAAGCGTCTGTGTGTCCAGTAAGGACCACTGGCCTACGTCCTCCTAGCACTAACCCCATGCCCGATGTACTTGCAAGATAACGCAAAACCCTCTTAGCGGCAGACCAGTGCTGAGGTCGGTGTCTGCCTGTAGCCACAAAGCGAGCCAGGATGCTGAGAGGGTATGCGAGATCTGGGCGCGTGCAAGTCATCAGGTACATGAGGCAACCCACCAGCTCTGCGTAAGGACCACTGGGCTCTGCTGACTCCTCAGGATCTGGAGCGGAGAGCCTGTGGTCTAGAGGCAGAGGAGTAGGCTGTGCGGAGGAGAACTGAAGGCCGAACCTCTGAAGGACCTGGCGCACCAAGTGTGACTGAGTCAAAGTGATGGTGCGGGCTGCTCTGTCCCTGGAGATCTGCAAGCCAAGGTAGTGGCGCAGTTCTCCAAGGTCAGTGCAGGTGTGTCTCTTCAGCAGCTATGCCTTCATGGAGGCCAGTGCGTCCCTGTCTGCCGTGACGAAGACCAGGTCGTCTACGTAAACAAGGATGTAGAACGTATCAGAATAATTGAATGAATGGTAAAGTGAGAGTACACACAAATATATCTAAGTTTTGTATCCTCTAAGAGGTGACTCTATACAGTCTATACAAACATGACAAATACACATGTTTGACATTCCCCCTAGACTGCATAGGGGAATACCCTAAACAAGCAGCTCAGGGCGGCACTACTAGTCCAACCTCTGAGGCAAGGGTCTGAGCGACCGGTCTGAAGGAGTACAGACAAGGCAAGCACAAGAGCAGGGCGGCACTACTAGTCCAGCCACTGGGAGAGGACACAAGTCCAGTCTGAGTATACATATAAAGGACAGTACAAAGTCAAGGTCCTAGCAAGTGAGAGGCTACAGGAACTAGACCAAGCTGTACACAGTGCCGCTGATGATCTTTAGGCGCAAGCGCCTTCGTAAAGATATCAGCCGTGTTGGCACCTGAGGCCAAGTGTACTACGCGAGCCTGACGTCGCTGCTGTAGCTCACGCAGGAGGAAGTACCGCAGCTGAATGTGCTTCGCTCTGCCCTCGAGTTGAGGCTCCTGACACAGGAGGATCTTGGCCCTGTTGTCAGCGAACAGGACCGGGGCAGAGCTAGGCCGCTCACCTAAGTCAGTGAGCAAGAAGGTCAGCCAGCGGAGCTCCTGTGCCGCCATGGCACCGGCGTAGATCTCAGCCTCACAGCTGGACTGTGCAACAGACGAGGAGCGAGTAGCTCTCCACGAGACGGCACCTGAGCCAAGGCTGAAGCAGTAGCCCTGGGTAGACCGGAGTGTCTCAGCGTCGTCTGCCCACGAAGCGTCTGTGTGCCCAGTAAGGACCGCTGGCCGGCGTCCTCCTAGCACTAACCCCATGCCCGATGTACTAGCAAGATAACGCAGAACCCTCTTAGCGGCAGACCAGTGCTGCGGTCGGTGTCTGCCTGTGGCCACAAAGCGAGCCAGGATGCTGAGAGGGTATGCGAGATCTGGGCGAGTGCAAGTCATCAGGTACATGAGGCAACCCACCAGCTCTGCGTAGGGGCCGCTGTGTTGGCGCACATCGGGCGAACATTGCACGTGCGTCAAACCTGCAAGCTGACGGTTTCAAGCTCCATGGCTGGTACCTGGACAGTGGCTGCACACAGCACATGACGAACAGGTCAAACTGGTTGAAGAATGTGAGGGAGTCGAATGAGAAGTTCATACTGCTGGGAGATAGCACAAAGTTACCCGTCACTGGAGAAGGTGACGTCCTACTGCGTAGCAGGTTCGGGGAACTGAAGCTGAAAGGAGTACTGCTGGTGAAGGACCTATCCATGAATCTGATTAGCCAGTCACAGATGGATGCATTGGAATGTAAGGTGCTCAACAACCGGGGCAAGGTTACAGTATTTGGTCCAACGTGGGAAGTAGTTGCAGACGGGAAGCTGAAGCGGGGTTTCTACGAGATGGATTTTATGCCGAAGCTGTTAGTAACGGATGGGTATGAGGAGGACAACATAAGCAACGAAGCTGTGGTTGTACGGGAGGACACAGGAGCTGAGGCAGCTAAGAAACAGGATGGGAGGAGAAACAGAAACAGGCAGCAGCAAAGACAAGGAAAGAGGAGATAGAGCAGTCTGAGGAACCCGAGGGAAAGAAGCAGACAGTAACGACTATCAATTGGTTTGGTAAGATTTTGGAGGTCAGTAAGGAAGGATGGATAGTACGGGCTAGCGACGAGTTGTTCAGTGATTGTGAGGGTATCCTAGAATGGGCAAGTGAGATTGGAGACTCTACTGAGGGCGAGGAGTACAGTAAGGAGAAGAAGCAGACCAATCCTCATCTGAGGGTTCAGAGTTATCCATTCAAGCCTGGTAAGCAGAAGCAGAAAGCCAAGCAGTTGCAGGGGAGTATGGAGCTGACTTAGAGTGCGAGGATGGAGAATGCAGGGGAGCACTAGAAGAGACAATCACATGGAAGGTGCGTGGTTGGCAGAACCACAGGGGAGGTTGTTGGAGTGGTTCCGCCACCCACAACGGACTACTCGTGACTTGGGGTGACGAGGAGAGAAATGCGGACTTGGGACGAGAAGGTACTAGGAAGCGGGTATTGCGTGAGCGTGAGGTGTACGGAAAGGGGAGAAGAAAGAGAGAAGATTGGTGGAAAGTAAGGAGAATGGTGGTTGAGTGGAAGAAAGGAGTGGAAGTGGTGAGAAACAGATTGACGTGGGGCAAAAGTTGGGTTTCAGACGGGGCGTGTTCAACAAGCATTCGGACTTCGGGCCAGTGGCGTGTTCAGCAAGAAAGTCGCGATTGCGTGTGCGACTCGGCATGACATGAAGCGCGCGAGTTACGCGCAGCGCACACGGCAGTTACGAACCGCGTTTGTTCTTTCTTGATTGCCTATAAATCAGTATACTCTTGTGTGCTTTGTATCTCATTGGAACTAGTGGAATGCTTGTGTGTATTGACAACTTGCAACCACTTTGAGATCAGATTATGAGGCAAGGCCCTTGAGGCTATTTGCACAAGTATTTCTAAATACTTTTCGCTGCGCCGGAGGCGATAGTCGCCTAGACGCTGGGCTCTACCAACTCCTCAGGCACTGGAGCGGAGAGCCTGTGGTCTACAGGCAGAGGGGTGGGCTGTGCAGAGGAGAACTGAAGGCTGAACCTCTGAAGGACCTGGCGCACCAAGTGTGACTGAGTCAGGGTGATGGTGCGCGCAGCTCTGTCCCTGGAGATCTGCAAGCCAAGGTAACGGCGCAGTTCTCCAAGGTCAGTGCAGGTGTGTCTCTTCAGCAGCTCTGCCTTCACGGAGGCCAGCGCGTCCCTGTCTCTTGTGGCAAAGACCAGGTCGTCGACGTAAACGAGGATGTAGAACGGAGTCTGGCCAGCACGAACGAAGAGTGAAGGGTCTGCAGAAGACGGAAAGAACTGCAGGTCAGCAAGCGTAGCACGCAGAGTGTCGTGCCACTCACGGGGAGCCTGGCGCAGGCCGTAGACGGGGCGCCGCAGGAGCCACTGGGTCCCAGAAGGGAAGGTGCCAGTAAAGCCCGGAGGGCGGCGCAGGTAGACCTGCTCGTGTAGGCTGCCCTGAAGGAAGGCAGTGGAGAAGTCGAGGGAGTGAAGCTCGTAGTCACGCTGAGCAGCTAGGTGTAACAGAACCCGAAGAGTAGTCATCTTCGGGGTCGGAGCGAAAGTCTGGAAGAAGTCCACCCCTCGCGCTGACTGAAGCCTCTAGCCACATAGCGCGCCTTGAACACAGGCGGCTCTCCAGGAGGGCGCTTCACCTTGAAGAGCCAGCGGCCATCGACTACGTTCACCCCAGGTGGGGGAACTGCGTCGATGAAGGTGCCGGTGGATCTCCAAGATGCCATCTCCTGCTCCATGGCAGCTATCCACTGCGAGGCCCAGGGTCCCGAAGTCGCCTCAGCGTAAGTGCGAGGGGTCGGGATGTCGAAAGCGTCTGGGTCACCCTCAGGGACTAGCAGCATGGAACAGAGATGGGGAGCAGCCTCGGAGAGGAAAGCAAGCTCGAACTGGCGGTCCTCCAGGACGTCACTGCCAAGGGCAGGAGCACCCCCGACAGACGGAGGACAGGCAGGGTCAGAGACCAGAGCGGAGGCGTAGTCAAGGCGGCGGGTAGAGGCGAAGTCAGCGACAGCAGCGACAAGAGCGTCAAGGCACGAGACTGGAACAGACGGGTCGGTAACGAGAGAGGCAAGGACCCGAGGA